ATCAATGAATCTAGTTAGCTGATCACAATTCAATTCACAAGATGTCATTAGAGGACAAGTGTTGGGATGCGTTTGACGATACAAATCGCAAAGAAGCTATTCGCTTACTACCATTAGTTAAGGAACCGAATAAAATTACAAGAAGATATCTAATTTGGGATAATACTAGTTTACTTCATTTGTCTTCAAGCAATGGCTGGTTAGATGTTACAAAAGATCTTATCATTAATTATCACTGTGACCCACACGAAAGAGATAGTCATGATCATACTTGTCTTCATTGGGCTGCACGATATAATCAAGTTGATGTGATGAGATATCTCATTGATGAGTGTCACTGTGATACAATGGCTGTTGACAGGTGGAGCTGTACACCTCTTCACTGGGCTTCTCGTTGTGGTAATTCTGCAGTTGTTGAATATTTGCTATCAACTGGTAAATGTGATCCATTGACTAAAGACAGTGATGAGAGAACACCATTTAAACTAGCTAAGGAGTATGGTCACACTGATACTCTTTCTGTCTTGAAGAAGTTTGGTGGCATAAAATCATCTCATCCAATTGATTCTTATGTTAATGTCCTCCTTGTGGGTAATCCTGGAGCTGGTAAAAGTACTCTTAGTCATGTCATCAATGACACTGCTACTGGTTCTATTGTTCTTGGTTCCTTTAGAAATGTTGGAGAGGTAGTGCCCTGTACTGCTGGTATCATTCCTTATAAACTACAACACAGGACTCTGGGTAACATCATTCTTCATGATTTTGCTGGTCATTCAGAATACTATTCCAGTCACAGTGCTGTCATTGAGAATCTGTTACAAGGTTCTGGTGGTGTGTTCCTGATAGTAGTTAATATATTGGAGCAGGAAGCAGTGAAACAGCTTCATCAGTGGCTAACAGTTGTGAGAAATGAAGCACAGAAAGCTCTTAATCAATGCCATGTTATTGTAATAGTCAGTCATGTGGATGAGATAAGTAATCCTGTTGAAAGGAGGAAAAAGGAAGAAATACAGAAGATTATTGTGAAGGAAAGGTGTGATAGTGTCTTCTTAGATTGTCGTAAGCTTGGTGGGAGTGGTATGGATTCCTTCTTTAATAAGTTGTCTAGTGCCTGTGAGTCCATTTGTAGTACAAGTGGAAGGAATTTGAGTCTTTATTGTCACATGATGTATGGTCTACTGGAGGAAAGGAAAGAGAATATACTGACCCTCTCTGATGTAATGTTTGCTGGTAGGGACAATGATGATTACTTTATACCAGATAAAAGAGAAGATGTCTTGGATGTTCTTCATTCGTTGCACTCAACTGGTTTGATCAGTGTTCTTAAAAGTGAAGGCAAGGTATGGGTTGTTGTGAATAAGGGTATACTACTAACTGAGGTGGATGGGATTCTCTTTGCTCCAGAGACATTCAAAGAACACGTTGACATTGCTAGCAATACTGGTATTGTTAGTGTGTCTGGTCTGACTAGACTCTTCCCTAAATATGATCCCAACATGTTGATTCGTTTTCTGAAGAATATGGAACTCTGTCAAGAAATTCATCCATCTTTCCTAAGAATGACAAACCTCCATCAGTTAGCAGTGGAAGAGGAGAAGGAGAGAGGGACAGAAAGAAGAGGAGAAAGGTTGTTGCACTTTCCATGTCTTTTGTCTAGTGATAGACCTGATGAGATGACTAGTCAAGTGTACCAGTTTGGTTGGTGTCTACAGTGTACTAGTAAACATCATTTCTTTCCTCCTCGATACTTCCATGTCCTCTCATTACGTCTTGCTTATGAAATGGCTCAACCTCAAGAAGATGACCAGTTAATGCGACGTTGTACATTTTGGAAGAATGGACTTTATTGGTCTAATGGTCATGGTGTAGGATCACTGGTAGAGATTGTGGATGAGAGCCAGTGTGTAATAGTAATGATGTCCTGTGAGAAAGATTACAGTGATAATATGGTGTCTCTAAGAGGAGATGTGATAGGAAAGGTAATGAGTGTTTATAAAGAATCCTGTCCCAGTCTAGAAGTAAAAGAGTTAGTTATTGATCCTAAAGAACTAGCCTATCCTGTGAATACACTAAGAGAAAGGACAGTGTATAGTGTAAAAGCTGTGACGTCTGCTATTGTCAAGAGAGAAGTTTTTGTAGTAAATGCTACAGGTATGAAACAGGCAAAATTGAAAGAGATTCTACATGATGAATCATTATCAGATATTAGTAACCTGTCACTGTTTGGAGGACGTAATATTAAGGTAAGAATTACCATACAAACTGTTTGATACATTAATACAAGCACTAATAATAAAAAGGTCATATTATCTTTAAAAAGTAATTTTATTTGTTATCAAAATACTCAGGCTGGGTTTACACAGCAACACAAAAAGCATCATTTAAAACAGTACACTTTAAACACAGTTTTCAGTTTCAATAGAGTTCTATCATTTTTTTCATTTGTTTCCGTGTAAACAGAAACATAAAACAGGCACAAAACTATAGGGATTGCATCAGGTTTTGTGGCTGTGTAAACCGTAGCCTTAGTCTTTGTCATAATTGTGGGTTGTCATTGTGTGTCTAAGTGTCTTTTATTGTTATTATTTTTGTATAGGAAGTAAATGAAACAACTGAAAGATTCAAGACACCATTGACTCCAATAAAGCTAGGTGTGCTTACTATATTATAATAAGTGCTATCACAATTGTCAAGTAGTGGGAGTGTGGACTGTACAGTGTATATACACATTTTGAGTTATTATTTTTATAGATATTAACAATCTTGACATTGTCATTAAAGAATTAATATCAGATCAACACTTGCCCTGTTCTGTATGGCACAGACTAGGTCTACAGTTAGGATTATATGATCCTAGACTAGTGGATATAGACAAGAAGAATAGAGGAGATCCAGTGGAGTGTTTCCGTGAGTGTATGTCTGCCTGGTTAAGAGGAGAAGATAAAGTGAGAGAGAAAGGAGGTCCCAGTTGGTTATCATTAGCTACAGCACTGGATACAATAGAAGAGAAATCTATTGCTAGTTACATTAGAGATAAATATTGTTAAGTATAATAACTTAACAAGTTTGGTTGCTTTTCTATTTTT